CCCCCGGAGCGCAGAGCAGGTGGCCAGGCCAGCACCCGGGAGGATGGCCCTCCCAGGAGGCAGCCCGGCCTGGGCCACCCCGGCTCAGCTGGGGCTGGGAGGGAGGGAGCCAGAGAGGGGCCAGGAGAGGGCATGGACGGCCTCCGGAATGTTCTCCTTCCTTCCTAACAGTCAGCTGTCGTCACCCCACGCCCCACGCCCCACGCCAGGCCCTGGTGGGACCTCTGGCTGTTCAGCCTGCGGTCCCACAGCAGCAGCTTCTCTTGCTCACGGACTGTGACGCTCCAGTCAGAGACCAGACCCGAGGCGGAGCGGCAGCAACAGGCACCGTCCCCCCAACAGCGCAAACCCAGGCCTGGCCGGTGGCTCAGTGGTCGGAGCCTTGTCCCGAAACACCCAGGTCGTGGGTTCGATCCCCGGTCAGGGCCCATGCATGAATCAACCAACGAATGCATCAATAAGTGAGCAATAAAACTGATGTTTCTCTCTCAAAATCGATTTAAAAAACACAAAGAAACACAAGCGCACGCATTTGTAAAGTCATTCTGCACGTGGCGGAGGCTCGGGGTTCAGTCACAAGCGCCAGGGCTCTCGGCAGGTGCCGGCGGCTTGTCATGCACGTCCACTCAGCAGCCACGTGTGCACGTGGAGTTCACGGCTAATCACATGAAGGCCCTCCTCAGGCACGGGGCTAACCAGGTACAACACCCTGTTGTGCCGAGGACACTGGCAGCCGCGGGAAGCGTCCGTGCGCGTGTACCTGCCTGCGTGTAGACAGGCCGTGTGTGACGGGAGAAGGTAGGTGCGGATGCGGCGGGGCCCAGCAGGTGAGCGTGGAGAGCATGTTCCTGGCACCCCGGCTAGAGGGCCACCCACCAACCCAGAGGCCTCAGGACACTGCGAGGGATCGAGCCTCGGCCCTCTCCCTGGACAGGGACAGGGGCGGCCAGCACCCACAGGGCTGACTGTGGTCAGACATGACACCCCCACTGGTGCCAGACCCACGTCGAGTGCTCTCACTTTCACCTCATTTTCTAGAAATAAGATCTAGTGTTAAACACTCTAACAAACATGAACAGAAATTCTCATAAACTACAAAAACTCATTGGGATGTTAATGAACTGTGTGTGTGCGCACAATCCAAAAGGTTCATTAACATCCCAATACGTACGCATGTGTATATGTCTATGTTATGTGTGCATGCATATGTAAATATATACGTATGTGTGCACATATATACAATCGATAAGAAATCAGTGTCAGAATAAGTGCAAAATCTGAACTCCTCGTTTTTATATTTACGGCGGCAAAGGTTAAACATCACAAACCACGATGCCCTGAATTCTGCAGCAGGCAGGACGGACCTCAAGGACAGTGAGCACATGTGAGTACAGGTGAGCACATGTGAGTACAGGTGAGCACATGTGAGTACAGGTGAGCACATGTGAGTACAGGTGAGCACATGTGAGTACAGGTGAGCACATGTGAGTACAGGTAAGCACAGGTAAGTACAAGCAAGAACAGGTCCACACAGGCAAGAACAGGAATGCACAGCTATAGGCAAGCACAGCGAGTACAGGAAGGCACAAGTACAGGCAAGTATAGGCAAGCACAGGTAAGGACAGGTGAGCGCAGGTGAGTATAGGTGAGTATAGGCAAGCTCAGGCGAGCTCAGGCGAGCACAGGTGAGCTCAGGTGAGAAGGAAACGGCGCCTCGCGCAGGGACTGCTGTCCGCCCTGGAGCCCATTTCCTCACAGCAGCCCCCTTGGCTTCTCACAGTCAGAACCACAGCAAATCCTCCCGCCAGAGAGGGGCCAGGAGAGGGCATGGACGGCCTCCGGAATGTTCTCCTTCCTTCCTAACAGTCAGCTGTCGTCAGGGGGTGATCAGTGTCTCAGCCCGCACGGCACACGCAGTCTGGTCCAGAGGACAGGGGTGCCGGCCACTGGGCTGGAGCAGCCCCCTCCCCAGGCGAGGTGCTGCTCCCTTAGTCTCCTGCTGGGATCAGCAGGGAGGCCCCGGGAGGTGCCCACGCAGTGGAGAGGGGGACACGGGCGTGGGCAGCTGTTTCCCCGACCACAGAGTGACCACACAGCCGAGCGGCCAGGTGGCTGCTCCATGGGGAGCACAGCGGAGCCGGATTGGGGGGGAGGTGGTTCCCCGCTGAGCTCAGCCCCCGCTGGACGCCAGGGCTCGCCGGCTGCGCTCCCGAGTGGGAGGCGGTCTTCCGTGACTGTCCCCAGAGAAGATTCTGCGTCTTTCGAGATGCACCCAATGGCCTTGGCCGGTGTGGCTCCGTGGACAGAGCCTCGGCCCACAGACGGAAGGGCCCCGGTCGATTCCGGTCAAGGGCACACACCTCGGTTACAAGCTCGGTCCCTGGCCCTGGTCGGGGTGCGTGTGGGAGGCACCCGATCGATACGTCTCTCGCATCGACGTTTCTCTCTGTCTCTCCCCCGCCCTTCCTCTCTCTACAAGTCAATGGGGAACATCCTGGGTGGGATTAACAGCAAAGACACGCCTGACGCTGCCACACCCCGAAATCCTGCGTGAGGCCTTCTCTTCCCCGCGCTCCAACGCGGGGCAGCGTGTTTCCTGTTCCCAGCCTCACGGGACCCAGGTTAGAGTGGGCGCGACCTCCACACAGACGCCGCGCTCCGCCCGGGCCCGGGGCAGGTGCCAAGGGGAGTCTGGCGGGAGTTTAAGAAGATGCTGGCCCGGCCCCAGGACCCGCGGCTCTCGGACGTCGGAGCACGTTACGGAGGAAAAACAGTCTCTGCATCTTGTACTCAGTGGGCTGAACCCCTTCCTGGGTGCCCAGTGTTTTATATTTACGGCGGCAAAGGTTAAACATCACAAACCACGATGCCCTGAATTCTGCAGCAGGCAGGACGGACCTCAAGGACAGTGAGCACATGTGAGTACAGGTGAGCACATGTGAGTACAGGTGAGCACATGTGAGTACAGGTAAGCACAGGTAAGTACAAGCAAGAACAGGTCCACACAGGCAAGAACAGGAATGCACAGCTATAGGCAAGCACAGCGAGTACAGGAAGGCACAAGTACAGGCAAGTATAGGCAAGCACAGGTAAGGACAGGTGAGCGCAGGTGAGTATAGGCGAGCAGGGGCAAGCTCAGGCGAGCTCAGGCGAGCACAGGTGAGCTCAGGTGAGAAGGAAACGGCGCCTCGCGCAGGGACTGCTGTCCGCCCTGGAGCCCATTTCCTCACAGCAGCCCCCTTGGCTTCTCACAGTCAGAACCACAGCAAATCCTCCCACAGGACATTCCTTCTCAGCCAACCCGGAGCTGAGA